TTTATTATATATTTAGGATTTATTTTTGTTACATAAGTAATATGTCTAATGCCAAACATGAACGGGGGACAGGAAAGGGGAAAAAAGAAAGAGATTCCTAAAACAGGAAGAGAGGAGAGAAAAAAAGGAAAGAGAGACAACAAAACCATCCATCCAGCTGCTGTATAATGTAGAAAGATGTCCTGTAGTCACCGTGGGCAAACTCGAGGGAGAACCTGCAAACAAACACTACGGGGAGACACACACAAACTAACAAACACTAACAGCAAAATAATACTGCAGACAAACCCGGGCGAGAACCTGTAGAAGCACCTGCAAGCAGACACAAGAAAGAGACACACACAAACAGGCAGCAAAAAGGCGGGGCCTCTTCCTCGTCGGTGGGCGGGGCCTAATCAGTGGGCGGGGCCTCTTCCCCATCGATGGGCGGGGCCTCCTCATGTCTCTCCCCCTCAGTGCCTCCGGGCCCCGGAAACGCCCGCCGTCCCCCGCTGCGCCCCGGCGCCGTCCCCTCTCCCCCCTGGTGCCGGCCGCCGCCTCCAGGACGCCGGCGGGCGGGAAGATGCCTCCCGCTCCCACCGGAACCAGGACCCGGCCCAAACGGGCCCAGACGCCCGCCAGGGTGCAGCCTCAGGCGGTGGCGCCGGTCGCCGTGGAAACCGGGCCCGAGCCGGACCGGGCCGAAGCCCCCCAGGAGAGGAGGGGTAAGCGTTACCACGGTGACAGGCAGGCAGATTCCAGGGAGCCCCCAGAGTTCTGGTTCTGGTTCTGGCTCCGCCCCACTGAGGTGTGTTTGCTATGGATGCTTTTCAGAACCAGAACCGGGACCCGTTCCGGCCATCGTGGTGTCCGCCGCCCCGCTGACTCCGCCCTCCATCAGCCCGGCGCCGAGCGGCGAGCCGGCCGGACCCGCCCCGGCGGCACCAGCAGCACCAGTGGTACCAGCAGCACCAGCGGTACCGGCGGCGGCGGCCTACAAGCCGTCAGCAGGTACCACCGACCCGGAAGAGGCGGCCCGGGTTCTGGCAGAGAGGCGGCGCCAGGCCCGGGAGCAGCGGGAGAAGGAGGAGCAGGACCGGCTGGAGCAGGAGCACCGCAACAGGTTGGTGCCGACCCGCAAGTCCAGAACCACAAACCGGGCCGGGGAGGCCGGAGAGTCTGAGCCCGACCGGGTCGGAACAGAACCCCCCGACAGGGCAGGAACCGGGTCAGAACCAAAGCCAGAGTCAGGCTGCCATGTCTCCATGCTGTGTGTTTGGGGTTAGAACAGGAGCCTTTGGCCCTGGTTCTGACCCGGTTCTGTCCTGGTTCTGACCCGGTTCTGTCCTGGTTCTGACTCTGTGGCTGCCCTGTCTCGGTGCAGGGTTCTGCGGGAGGAGGCGGCGGCCCGCGATGCGGCCGAGCGGCTCCGGCGGGAAGAAGAGGCGCGCTTCATGGCCGAGCAGCAGCGGCTGAGAGACGAAGCCCAGCGAGCTGAGGAGGAACAGCGGACCAGAGCCGAGGAGGAGGACAACGCCAGGCTGCAGAAGCAGGTGGGTCGAACAGAGTGTCCTCGAACACATCGGGACTAACAGCAGATACTCAGTATTCAGACTGTCCCCGAACACATCGGGACTAAATTGAGAAACTCAGTTTTCAGATTGTCCTCGAACACATCGGGACTAACGGCAGATACTCAGTATTCAGACTGTCCCCGAACACGTCGGGTCTAAATACGAGAAACTCAGATTTCAGACTATCTTCAAACACATCAGGACTAACAGCACAATCTGAGAAAGAGTAGAAAAGCAGTGGTGTGTTCACAGCCGGTGGGTATTCTCAGTTCCCAGTCAGCTGGAGCTCTGCTGGGTCAGCAGGGGCGCCCCCTGCTGGCGCCCCCACAGCTCGGTAGCGCTCTGTTTTTCCCAGCTGACCCAAACCCGTCTGTGGAGGCTCAGGATCTGTTAAATCTCCTTCCTGCTTGTGTTTGCTGCCCAGAGGGACGAGGCCGAGGCCAAAGCCCGAGAGGAGGCCGAGCGGCAGCGGCTGGAGAGGGAGAAGCACTTCCAGAAGGAGGAGCAGGAGCGGCTGGAGAGGAAGAAGGTCTGAGGGGGTCTGAGGGGGTCTGAGTGGGTCTGAGGGGTCTGTGGGCGTCATAGGGGGTCTAAGTGGGACTGTGGGGATCTGAGGGGGTCTAAATGGGTCTGAGGGGGTCTGGGGGGGGGTGGGGGGGGCTGGGGGGGGCTGGGGGAGTCTGTGTGGGTCTGAGTGGATCCGAGGGGGTCTTAGGGGGTCTGAGTGGGTGTGATTGGATCTGAGTGGGTCTGAGTGGGTCTAAGGGGGCCTGACTCTCTGATTTGTTCTGGTCTCAGCGCTTGGAGGAGATCATGAAGAGGACCCGGAAGAGCGACGCCAGCGAGAAGGTGAGCTGGACCAAGAGTCTTGGGGGTCCATGGAGTCTGGGGGCTCTTGGGGGTCCATGGGGTCTGATGCTGGTTCTCCTCCACAGAAGGACGTCAGAGCGCCTGCACAGGTCAACGGCTCCGAGCTCAGCCAGGGTCAGTTCTGGTTTGTCCCACAGCAGTGAACGCAGCACCACACCAACACACACACACCGTCACCACAAAAATCAACCACACAATAACACAACAAAGAACCCACAAAGGTGAAGAAACACCACAAAAGATGAGTGCACAAATCAACGAAACCCAACAAAACGCAGACACACAAAACTACACACACAGACACACAAATATACATGTATATACAGTACACAAAGCTACACAGACACATATAGTTACACACAGACTCACCTCTGCCCCCCCGACATCCCTGCAGCCCCGGGGAACCTCCAGGCCGCGGCCCCCCTGGTAGTTAATGGCGTGCAGCCCAGCTCGCACCAGAACGGCGCCCTGGAGGGGCGGGGCCAGCAGGGCGGGCGCGGCGGCGAGCCCCGGCTGCCGTTTGAGGGGGCGGAGCCTTTCCTGATGAAGAGCAGCCCCATGAAGCCCCAGCACGTCGCAGGTAGGAGCCGCCGGGGATTCTGGGAAATGGAGTCTGAGGATGGGGGGTTTCATGTGTTTCTGGCGGATAACTGGGGGCTAACTGGGGCTGTTTCTTGGGGCTAGCTGGGGGCTAACTGGGGCTGTTTCTGGGGGCTAACTGGGGCTGTTTCTGGAGGCTAACTGGGAGCTAACTGGGGGCTAACTGGGGATGTATCATGTGTTACTGGGGGCTAACTGGGGCAGTCTATGGGAACTTACTGGGAGCCGTTTCTGGGGGCTAACTGGGGCTTTTTATTGTGTTTCTGGGGGCTAACTGGGGTGCTAACGGGCTGTTTCTGGGAGCTGTTTCTCAGGGCTAACTGGGGCTGCTTCTGGGTGTTAAGTGGGGCTGTTTCTCAGGGCTAGCTGGGTGTTAACAGGGGCTGTTTCTGGGGGATAACTGGGGCTATTTATGGGGGCTAACTGGGGGCTGTTCCATGTTCTTCCCCTGCAGAGGTCCTGTGAGCCACCAAAGGGAGGCGCCTGGTCTCCGCCGCCCCCCCTCAGCTGCAGACGGCCAGCGTTGGAGCGCCTCGTCCTCAGAGGAGCAGCCACCCTGCCATCATGTATCCTGTGTTTCCTGGGGGGGGGCTCCCTGAGGACGGCCGCCTGTGTAACAAAGTTTAGAAAACTGTCAGACCCCGGAGCAGCCCGGGGTCTGACAGCGGTCGTTGTTGTGTTGTTGTTGTTACCTTCAGTTGAATTTTGTGTGTTTGCTGTTGTTATTTAACTCGGGCAGCGCGTGTAAATGTAAAGAGAGCTGTCAATAAAGCTTTAAGAAAGGGCCTGTGTGAGTACTGGGGGGTCCAGAGGGCTAACGAGCAGGTTTTCCTCCAGAATGAGGCTCCACTTCCTCGAAATCAGCTCTTTTCCAGCATCCAGAAATAAAGGAAACTTTGTGCTGATGTGCTGAAACCAGTCAACTAAAAGCTTAAACTCAGAGTTCATTTTATAAGCATTCTTTTAAATGGTTCTGACTGGTTCTGTGCGGTTCCGACTGGTTCAGTGGGCCCACAAAATTCAAGGCCTCGGTTTTAAATTAAAACGTTTGAGAAAAAGCTATTTTTCGGCCGGTTCACTCCTGGAATAGTCATTAGAGAGCCTGGAAGAACAGCCTGAACACACCATGGCCGGGAGGCGCCTTTCAAACTCCGTCCAGAAGGGGGCGGCAATCTGCTTGTGGCAGGCGGTCCGGATGGCTCAGAACCTGAACCGCTGATGATGATGATGCTCCCCATCTTCATCTTGCTGCAGTACCCCTCAGACGGTCTCAAACAGGCTGATCCACCCTCCAAACGGGTCACATGACCCTTCCTGGCAGCCTGAATCAGAACCTGGACCCAGTTCTTCCCACAGAGATTCAGTTCTGCAGGCAGATTTTGGACCTCTGAGCTGCTTGCAAACAGGCCCGGCTCAGCCCAGACGGTTCCCTCTGCAGTTTCTGATGCCTCTAATCCTGGTCAAATGTTATGGTTAAATATAATAATAATAATAATAATGAATTGTTTTTTTTTCTTTGAGTTGAAGGTGGTTTTAATTCAGAACCAGAAATTCCTGATTTCTGTGAACATTTCAACCTTTTTCAAATATTTTTCTGGTGGAAAAATAACAGAAATGACTTGTTTTCCTTTTTAACAAAGTAAATAAAGAGCCATTTTTTGCTGATAGACAGACAGACTGCGAGCTGCTGGTGCTGAGGCGATACTTTACCATCAGGCTGTCAGACCAGCTCCACAGAGCAGGCAGACGGGCTTGTTCTGCCTTCCCTTCAGGAGATGGGCCTCCATGGGGCTCTGAGGTGGGCTCCTGGGCTCACTGGCCAGAGCCGCCCTGCAGACGGTGGGTATCAGCCTCACACGGGGGCTGTCGGGGGGGCAGGCAGCAGCTGGGCCTCAGAGGAGGCTGGCAGGGTGGGAATGGCTGCCATGTTTCTGTGGAAGGTCAACGAGGGGCGAGCCGGCCAAGGTGTGAGATTCAGCCGGGTGTGAAGGACAACGGCCGGCTTTGATCAAGCTGGGGGGGGGCAGAGACATCTGAACAGTCTGTTTACAGGAATGATGTGATGGGGTGGCCTCAGATGTCCGGCCCCAAGTTTGATCAAAGGATTGGATTCATTAAACTGAACCGTTCTGAGCCAAATGGGTGGATCTGTGCAGGTTTGTGAATCAAAAAGAGGACAGAGACAGGCCAAGCTCCACAATTTATCCACAAAGTGAAAGTCAGGACACTTCTGTGGCCTGAAAACTACCACAAAGAGGTACTAAACTACCATAAAGAGACTCAGAACAAACACAAAGCGACACTAAACAACCACAAAGAGACACAAAACAACCACAAAGAGACACACATCAGACCCTAACTGCGTGGCATTTAAATGTATTATGTAATTATATCATAGTTACACTAACTCACAGCTTCTGTTTCCTTTTTAAATCTGTTCTGAGAATTAAAATGCAAAGGAGTGTTGTTGGGGTCTGTTTTCCTTAATTAATTAGAGTTTTAATACAGAAAGCAAAGCGGGCTAATTAGGCCGTTTAGATGGTATACTATTTATGACCTAATTTGTATATTTGTATCCATATGTATATGCATATGTATGTGTACATATAAATATATACTTATACATAATACTTCAGTATATACTGAATACTTATGTGTTTTTATTCGTTGATGAGTTCTGGGTCAGTTTCTTAATGCCTGTGTTTTCCAGCTGAGGATAAACTGTTTTTCTCTGCCTCGCCTGAGCATCCTCACGTTCTCGCTCCTTCACACAAAGTCTCGCGTGATTAGAACGAACCGTCCGTCCGCGTTCTTTAGCGAGAGCTCGATCCCTAGCGACCGTTTAACGTCCGAAACGAATATCCTGTAGCGCGCAAACAAACGTCGAGGCATCCACAGGTGTGTGATTAGTGTGAAATGACTCAGCTGTGGAAAACCTTGGTCTCGTGAAGGCGCTTTGCGCCTGTTTTGTCCACCAATTTGTCGTCGGTGCTGCTGCTAATTAGCTAGCCCGCTAACATCCGCAGGTTTCGGTGCAGAGGAACCAGGAAGCAGGCTGCGGGAGCAGGCTGTTCGGCCTCCGAGCTGCGCCTACCCTTTCCAGCACCCAGCCCGCCAACCGGAGCCGGTCCACCGGTGTGAAGACAGCAGCAGGTAACCGGGCCCCCTTCCGTGGTTCTGCTAACAGGTGCGCGGAGCTAGCAGCTAGCTAACGTGAAGCCGTTGAGCCGCATCGATGGCTGTGATCGGTTTGGCCTCATTCGGCGCAGCTCTGCCGATGGTCACGTTTCACGGCTTTTTGTGTATTTACGTGTAGTTAGGGACAAATTTAGGACACCAGACTACCGAAAATAGCTGCGTTCACCTGCTGTTTGCATAAAAGTGACGAAAATAAACGAAACAGTGCGCGTGAGCAGTTACATATTTACAGAATTTATTGGAGCGCGCGACAAAACATTTAAAGCAGCTGTCTGTCATGTGAGAGGATTTTTACAGGCCAGGTGGGGGCTGGGCTATGTGGGGTTAGGGCAGGTGGGGGAGGGGCATGTCTAAGGGGGGAAGGGCTGGCCAGGTGGGGGCTGGGCAATGGGGGGTTAAGGAAGGTGGGGGCTGGGTTAAGGGGATAGGGGGGGCCTTAGGACAGGTGAGGGCTCGGCTATAGAGGATAAGGACAGGTGACGGCTGGGCTATAGGGAAGTAGGACAGTTGGGCCCTGGGGTATGTGGGGTTAGGGCAGGTGGGGGAGGGGCTTGTCTAAGGGGGGAAGGGCTGGGCTATGGGGGGTTAGGGAAGATGGGGACTGGGCTAAGGGGATAGGGAGGGCCTTAGAACAGGTGAGGGCTCAGGTATAGTGGATTAGGACAGGTGGGGCTTTGGCTAAAGGGGAGGGGGTTTGAGGGCAGGTGGGGTATGTGGGGTTAGGGCAGGTTGGGGAGGGGCTGGGCTATGGGGGTTTATGGAAGATGGGGGCTAGGCAAAGGGGATAGGGGAGGCCTTAGGACAGGTGAGGGCTTGGGTATAGTGGATTAGGACTGGTGGGGGCTGGGCTAAAGTGGATTAGGACAGGTGAGGCTGGGCTAAAGGGGGGGGGGCTGGGCTATGGGGGGTTAGGCCAGATCGGGGGCTGAGCTATAGTGGATAAGAGCAGGTGGGGTCCTGGCTAAAGGTAACAGGAGCTGCTCTGGTGGTTACAGCTGCTCTCCTCCCTCCTTCAGAGCCCTACCGCCTCCATACGTCCTCCATACTTTGCCCCCACAGCACCTCTGAGCTCTACAGGAGGGTTTCTGTTGAACCGGGGGGGCTGCCCAGCAGGGTTTGGAGTCCCTGTTGAACCGGCGGGTTCTGGCTGGCCGCTGTTTGCTCAGCAGAACAACCTTTGGTCTCTGCTCTGGGCAAACCTCCACTGACGGTTTGTCTCATTTTCAGAGAGAACAACTTTCCGCCTGAAAGAGCAAGAACATGTCCAAGGCTCCGGATTCTCCATCTCGACCCCGCTCCAGGACCAGGTCCAGGTCCTACACCAGGTCCCGGTCTAGGAGTCACTCACGCTCGAGGTCCAGGAAGCGTCGCTACAGGTGGGTCCAGTCTGGGTCTGGCTTCAGTCGGGGTCTCAGTTAGTCGGGTCTGGGGTCCGGGGTTCAGTCTGGGTCCAGTTGGGGTTTGGTCTGGGTCCAGTTGTGGCCTGGGTCCAGTTGTGGTCTGGGTCCAGTCTAGTTTACTCAGTGGACCCGCTCCAGCTTCAGCTTGGCCCTGAACCGGTGGCTTCCCGGCAGAGAGAGGAATGTTTATTCTGAAGGTCAGGGCACCTGCTGCCAGAGGCTCAGAGTTCAGATGTTGGAGCAAACAGATGGGGGGGGGGGGGGCTCTTTGGGGGTTCTTTTGAGGCCCTTTTTGGATCCTTTTGAGGTCCCTTTGAGGCCCTTTTTGGATCCTTTTGAGGTCCCTTTGAGGCCCTTTTTGGATCCTTTTGGGGGGTCCATTTGAGGTCCTTTTTTCCAGGTTTGGCTGACTTGTGGCCAGGCTTTGGTCCTAACCCATCTTTCCTCCGCTTTCAGTTCCAGGTCTCGGTCCCGCTCCCGGTCCCACTCGCCGTCCTACCGGAGCTACCCCTCTCGGGACTACCAGAGCAACCGGGGGGGCTTCCGGGGCTACAACCGGGGCTACCGCCGGCCCTTCCACTACCGCGGCCGCAACCGTGGCTACTACAACCGCGGCCACTACCAGAACCGAGGCGGCGGCTACGGCTACAAGCCCAACTGGCAGGGTGGGGGGGGCGGCTGGCAAGACCGGCGCCAGGACCAGCACAGCCCCAGGAGGGGGCGCTCCCGCTCCCGCACCCCCAAGAAGCGCTCCGGCAGCCGCAGCCGCTCCCGCTTCTCCGACCGCTCGTCCTCAGCCAAGTCCCGCCGCTCCAAGCACTCCAGCGCGTCCTCGCGGTCCCGCTCCCGCTCCTCCACGCCGCAGCGCCGCCGCAGCAGCAAGGGCCGGCCGGCCAAGGACCCGAAGGACAAGCAGCCCGAGGGCCAGCCCGACAAGCCGGGCACGGCCGCCGACGGCAGCGTCATCGAGAAGACCTCCGGGGGCAAGTGGCTCGACTACGAGGGCAGCCCCAAAGCCGGGAGCCCCGAGGCCAGCCGGGAGGAGTCGCCGCCCCCCCGGCCCGACAGCAAGGGCTCGGCCAGCGGCAGCAGCGGCGCCCTGTGGAAGAGCGTCGGCTCCACCACGCCACCCGCAAAGAGCCCCACCAGGGCCGGCCAGACGGCCTCCTTCAGCGGCTTCGGCTTCTTCACAAAGGACGAGGCCAAAGCCGGAGACAAGACCGTCATCTCTGCTGCCTTCAAAAAGTAGGTCCAGCTCCCGGTCTGGCTCCTGGTCCAGCTGGGAGCCTCTGGCCGGCCGACCCAGTCTGCCCTCCCCTGTACGCCCAGCGCCACATCAGGCTAAACCAGCCGAAGGTTGGCCAGCTGATGGCTGCAAAACCTCTTTATGATCCACTATTGAGTTACAGAACATCTCCATGTCTGCATCCAGCAAATGTTTTGATCCTGAAAGAGGCTTTGACATCCAGCTCCACTCTGAGCTCAGCCTGATGCTACATGCTAGCAGAGGGTTTAGCATTAAGGCTTTAACATCCAGCTAGAACATAGATTCCACAGCTAGCATCCATTGATGCTACATACTATCTATCTAGAGATATTTTAGAGAATTTTGATATTTGATATCAAAATATAAAATATTTTGAGATTTCACAGCTGCTTTAAAGGTTCCATCTCCTTTTTCAGGTTCCTGGCTGAGAACAAAAGCAAAAAGCAGGCTACCGATAAAGAGAACGGCCGTGAGAAGCAGCCGTCTGCTGACAGGGAGCTGGAGAAGGCCGCCAAGGCCGGCGACCTGTTCTGCATGCCGTCTGCGTCCTATGGCGAGCTGAAGGATGACAAAGTGCTGCCCTTCTTCGACGACGGCGAGGAGGAGTTCCTGAAGTCCCATGGGCTGAAGGAGCGGGCAACGGAGGAGGACGCCCAGCTTAAGCACGGCCTGACCTCGCGGGACATCTTCGGGAAGTGGGACGAGGAGGTGAGCTACCCGGCGCCATACAAGGAGAAGAGCCGCCGGGACGCCGAGGAGGAGGAGCCCGAGGAGCCGCCGGAGGAGGAGCTGTACCGAGGCCGCAAGCACTCCAAGAAGGAGGAGAAGGCCAAGAAGAAGGAGAAGAAGGATAAGTCCCGGCGCAGCGCCTCCCCGCCCAGCACCTCCAAGGAGAAGGACCGCCCGCTGTTCCCTGGGGCGTTCCCCCCCCGCTCGCCGTCGCCCGCCCGCCGCCTGTCCGCCTCCCGTGAAGACTTCGAGCTCAAAATCAGCTCTCTAGACGACATCCCTGGGTAGGTCCCACCCCCAGCCTGAAAGCTGGAGGACTCTGACTGGGTGGAGGCAGGAGTCTGACAGGGTGGAGTTGGGGTGGGTGGAGTCTGACCTTTGCCCTCCCTCCTCAGCTCATCGCTGGCCAAAGAGCGTGCGGCTCCCGGCGAGCTGCTGGCCTCCAGGAAGGACCCGGCCTTCCGCTCCATCTTCCAGCACATCCAGACGGCGCAGCTGCGGCGCAGCCCGTCTGAGCTTTTCGCCCAGCACATCGTCTCCATCGTGCACTACATCAAAGGTAGGGCGTCCCCGCCCGCCACGGCGGCGAGCCGGCGGCGAGCAGAGTAACAGCTGTGTTGTGTTTGCAGCCCAACACTTCCACTCCTCAGACATGACTCTGAGCGAGCGCTTTGCCATGTACCAAAGAAAAGCTGCAGAGGCAGAAATGATGAAGCCAAGGAAGAGCCCCGAAATCCACAGGTGAGCCCCGCCCCCCTCTGGCCCCGCCCCTCGCGGTGGCCCCCCTTGCAGCCTGTCTAACCCGCTGCCTCTCGCCCACAGGAGAATCGATGTTTCCCCCAGTGCCTTTAAGAGGCACTCTCAGCTGTTTGAGGATGTGGAGGAGGCGAGCTACAAGGTGACGAGCACTTTTGAAAACTTGGCGTTTGTGGAATCTGAGCCAATCCCGAGCAGCAGTGTTCAGCTTTGTGCTTTTCTTTCAAAGGATGCATATTTCTAAATCAAAAGAGCCCAAATGTGTTTTGTAAGTGCCAACAAGCCCCCAGCCTATGAGATATGGTTATTGATTGGGTATGCAAAGGCTTAAAGGAAGTGAATTAAGAGCCAATCCGAGCCTCTCACGGGACGCTTAGCAGTGCCTTTACCCTGTAAGTATGTTTCCTGAGCAGAAAACCATCAGCCACAAACTGAATGAGCCTCATGCATGTTTGCAGCAGCAGAATGTTGTAGTTTGCTCTGCCACACATAGTCTGACCAGGCTTTGACCAGACCCTTTGGGCCTCTGGCTCCACAAAGCGCCCGGCGCCTTCTAACCGCCGCCCCTCTCCGCAGGACGCCAGCAAAAAGTTCAAAGGCGACGTCATGGACCTGCGCCTGGATATTGAAAGGCGCAAGAGGTTTGCTGGGAGGGAGCGAGGCCGGAGCCCCGGGGGCTCCAGGGGGCCCAGCCGAGGGCCCAGCCGGGAGAGGTCCTCCGAGAAGCCTGGGAAGCACCACAAGAAGTCCAAGTACGTCACTCTGGGGGGGGGGGGGGGGGGGGGGGGGGGGGGGTGGGGGTCTTGAGCGGACCTGGTCCCGATCCGACCCCCCCGTGGGGGGGGGGCTGTGGGCAGGGACCCCTGTTCAAGTGACCCTTAAACCGGATGATGACTGTGTGACGCCTTCTTTCTCCAACAGGAAGGGCAAAAAGAAGCGGGACCGCTCCCCATCTTCCTCCTCCTCCTCTTCCTCTCCGTCCCCCTACCCCCCCTCCTTCAGGGGCAAAGAGTACATGGCGGGGGAGGGGCCGGAGCCCCCTGAGGAGGCCTACGGCCACACGCGCTACCCCCCCAGGGACTACCCTCCCCGGGACTACCCCCAGGACCGGGCCCCCCGGGACTTTGAGGGCCAGGCGGCGGACCGAGGACGAGGCCGCGGCTTTGTGAGTCCTGCTAGCTTTCGGGGTACTTTTGGGTTTATTTGGGTACCTTTGGGGTATTTTCTGGTCCATGGGGGACCCTTGAGGGTCCTTATGGGTCCATTGGGGTCTTTTTTGGGACCATCTGGTCCATTGGGGACCCTTTTGGGTTCTGTTTGGATCCATTGGGGTCCTTTTGGTTCCTTTGGGGACCCTTGAGGGTCCTTTTTGGGTCCATTGGGGTCATTTTAAGCCCATGGGGTCTGAGTGTGTTCTGTCTGGGTTCCAGTTCCCCAGGGTCAGAGGGAGGGGCTGGAACAGAGGAAACTACCCTGGAAACAGCAACGGGAACCCGGCCAACATGAACCCCCCGGTGCGCCCCCCCGAGGAGGAGTGGGACCCCGAGTACACCCCCAAGAGCAGGAAGTACTACCTGGTGAGTTCAGCGGGGCTGGGGGGCGAGAGGTCAGAGGTCATCCTGCAGAGTGCAGCACAGGGGACGGCCTGACCTGCATGACGTCACCACCGATGATGTCACAGACGATGACGTCACCGAGCCTGAGACATTTCCAAGTTTTCCTCAGATCTTTTTTGTTGTTCTTGGAGAACAGGTTATAGAACATTTAACATAGAACATATGACAACAAATGACCCGCACAAAGCCACAGAAAAGAGTCAAGAGAGGAAGAAGAAAAACAAATTCTTCTAAATTTGAATTTCTACGCTTCTCTGAGTCCATGAACTCTGCTGCTCCTGGTTCTGTGTTTTAACCTCCTAAACACAGAAACCAGTCAGGAAGAAGCCAATCCTGGTTTGACCCCCGGATGGTGGGAGCAGGGCCTGCTGCCCCCTGGTGGTGGGAGGAGGAAGCGGTCTGCTGACTGACTCTGTTTCCTTTCAGCATGACGACCGCGACGGGGAGAAGTCGTGGGTGGAGGGGCGGGGCCGCGGCCGCGGCTCCTTCCCGGCCCGCCGCGGGCGCTACATGTTCCGGCGGGGCGGCAGCAGCCCCAAGTGGACCCACGACATGTTCCAGGGGGGGGAGGAGGGCGAGCTGGGGGACGACGCCATGGAGGCCGAGCATAAAGAGCCCCACGCCCCCCGGGGGGGCCGCCGCCAGGAACCCGGGGGCGGGGGGGGGTGGCCCCCCCCCCCCCTCGTCATCTCATCAGTAAACGGTTCACTGGAGGAAGCAGCTGGTTGTTTTATGTGTTTTTAAGGGATTTAAAGGTTCATCGGTGCCTTAGAGGAGTGTCCCCGTCTTCATCCTGTTCTTCTGTTGTTCCATCTGTGTCCGATTCGCTCCACGGGACCAATCAGCAGCCACGATCTGACCCGACAGGCAGTCCCGGCGCGTCCGACCCCCCCACCCCCCCCCCACCCCCCCCCCCCTCTACCCCACCGCCTCTGTTTAGTTTAGGTTAAAGATGCGTTTAGACCCTAAATAGAGCAGAAACTAGCTGAGACTAAAGGCCGACTGGAGCTAAACCCAAAAGTTAGGCTGCAGTTCTGAACCCACCCAGAACCAGAACCCAGGGGCTGAACCGGTTCCAGTCACTGTGCTGCTTCGTCCACTCTGCATGTTCTGAACAGAGCTGAAACTTTTTTACTGTCGACCTTTGACCTTTGCTGTCTTTTAATTTTCAATAAATTTTCTTTAATTTGGGGCATTTCTGTGGTTTGTTCTTCAATTCTTACAAAGCACAAACTTATCAGAGCCAGAACCCCCCAGAGGGGTTAAATAAATAAAAAAGATAGACATAAGCTTTGAACTCTGAGCAGTCCAAATAAAACAGGAGATGGTTCTGGACCTGCTCTGATCCAATTCCCATCATGAGCCAGAATCAGGAGGAACCATCTTTAAGGCCCGGCTGTGGCCCAATGAGCTCATTTTTCTGCTCTTCATCACTGACCTGCTGCCTCCTGGGAACCCAAATGGCCTTTAATGGAGGGGGGGCTGTGAGAACAGGAAGTGGGGGGTCAGAGTGAAAACCTGGGAAAGTGGTGCCAAGATTCTGTGGGAAACGGGTCAGATTGCTGTTCCTGGGTGGGACATTAAGCTTCTTTTCTTTTCTCTTGTTTGCTGCTGGTGGTCAGAGCAAACAACGGGTCGTCAGACCTGAAGCAGAGGACCACAAACCGGCTGAATGGGGCTGTAAATGCCTCCGGCTCCATCCAGTCAGAGCTGGTTCAGAGCAGCGAATGAGCGTCCAGCTCATATTCAGCCCCAAGGAGGAAAAAACAGTCAGGATCAGAAAACGGCATTCAAAGAAAAAAAAACAAACGGATAAAAAAAATTAAGGAATCAGAGCAGAAGTTTACCCTTTACTGTTTTTAAAAAGCAGATTAATTTATAAGAAGCAGACCAAATGTGTCCATTTAAAAGGTAGAAATCATATAAACAAAAAATCCCAAAGAACCCCCCTAAAACGTTGTTCTCTTTGTTGTTTATTTACCTTCGAATCCCCAAAAATAAGCTCGAGGAGAGAGAGGTTTGTTTTTTGCTCCACAGGTGGTCGAAGGGGCCGTTCCCTCCTCCGGCCACCAGGGGGCAGCAGCCCCCAGTCTCTGACACATTCCAACAGTAAGCAGCAGACGAGAAATGAATACATGAAAATGGCGACCAGAGATTGAATTCAAAGGCTGAAACAGAAACGACCAACAAACTTGAATTATTTTCTGTTTTTTTAATCAGATCAAACCAAAAAATATATATAAACGCAATTTAGAGTAAATTCTCAAACATGATGAGAAGAACTGCTTATTGATTTAAACTGTAAATATGTCAGAAAAAGCCTCAAACACATCCAAACATTTAGTTTTTCCTCTGAATTAAAGATGATTTTTCTTCTTAATTAATTAAATTTTTCTCTGAATTTGTGTTTTTTTTCTCTGAATTCATGTTTATTCCTCTAAATTAAAGATGTTTCCTCTGACTTCGTGTTGTTTTCCTCTGAATTAAAGATTTTCCCTCTGAATTCGTGTCTTTTTTCCTCTGAATTAAAGATTTTTCCTCTGAATTCATGTTGTTTTCCTCCTGAATTAAAGATTTTCCTCTGAATTCATGTTTTTTTTTCCTCTGAACTCCTCTGTAGACGATGGAGCCCCTGGTTTTTCTGTAGACTGCCTGAAACTGAGTCTGGTTCTTCCTTCAGTTCCTTTCAGAGTCATCAGAAAGGAACCTGAAAACCTCAGAAACCTGAGTGCTGCCTGGCACCTGCTGTCTCTGGGGCCTTAGGGCCATTTGAGGCCCCTCTGTGGGCCTCTGGGCATTTTGGGCCTCTAAGGGCTTCTGGGGGTCCTCTGGGCCTTTAGGGCCCTCTTGGGGGTCCTTTGGGGGCCTCTGGGGGGGGGCAGTGCACCGTCAGCCGGACGCCGGCTGCCCGCTCTTCCAGATCTCCCTGACGATGCGCTCCCTCTCCTCCAGACGCCTCTGCAGCTCCTCATCCTCCCCTCCCTCCTCCTCCTCTTCCTCCTCATCCTCCTCCTCCTCACTGGACTCCTTCAGCCGCCGCCGTTCTGGGGGGGGCGGCGCCCGGCGTTTGGGCCGGCAGGTGATGCTGAGCACCAGGAGGCCGAGCGCCACCAGCAGCCCGGCGCCGACGCCCAGCAGGAAGCAGAGCGCCAAGCTCTCCGGATTGGCTGGAAACAACCAATGAGAATCCAGCGTCAGA